AAAAATATATGTATATATATACATATATATATATATATATATATATATATATACATATATATATATATATATATATATATATATATATATATATATATATATACATATATATATATATATATATACATATATATATATATATATATATATATATATATATATATATATATATATATATACATATATATATATATATATACATATATATATATATATATATATATATATATATATATATATATATATATATATATATATATATATACATATATATATATATATATATATATATATATATATATATATATATATATATATATATATATATATATATATATATATATATATATATATATATATATATATATATATATATATATGTATATATATATATATATATATAATAATAATAATAATAATATAAAAATATAAATTATATATATACAATTAAAAATATATGTATATATATATACATATATATATATATATATATATATATATATATATATATATATATATATATATATATATATATATATATATATATATATATATATATATATATTATTTGTGCTTGTTTTTTTAATTAATTTGGTGTGACTAGGTAAAATAAGTATTATATATATAGCAAGAAAACAACCTTTTTCAATAAGGTCCTTCAGCATATCAATGTCAGCTGTCTTAAGAACATTGAAAATTTCATGAACTTTTTTCTTATACCCAAATGTTGCACTAAAGACATGACTATCTAGATTAATCCAATGCCAATCAAATTTATCTTGAGGCTGTATAATCAATGGTAAGCTCTGTGATCCAAATGAATTTTGAAGCGAAATACTACTGTCCAAATTTAAAGCAGAAGACTAAAAAACAAATATAATAAAAATATAAATAAAAAAAACTATAATCTAAATCATATATTCAAAATTTTTTTTTTTAAGATTTTATTTTAAACATTAATTTTACCTGTTTTTAAATTATATACAATGAGCATTTTTGTATAATCATTATTGAATGATCATAGCAGTCCTTAAATAGTAATTGTAGATAATTTTGGTAAATTATCAGAAAAAACTTGTTTAAAGCTCGTGCATATTTTAAAAAATAACTCAAACTTTTTATTATTCTCTATATTAATTGTAAAACAGTTAACTGTTTATAAGTTAAAGATTTATCCATTATAATTTTAGTTATTAAATATAAATGAAAAGTTAACAATTATATTTGCATTAATAAAAAAATTGAATGGACATACTATTTTAGAAAATATGTAAAATTTTCTTCTTTTTTTTTTTTGTTATTTAGGTACCCCAAGAAGACCTAACGGTCTTGTCACAGAGCACCGCAGAAGTGCATTTAACCAGGAATTTCAAGCCTCCTTCCTTACCATAGGGTAAAAATATATCCAAAGCTTGTTTCAAACCTGGATCTCCTGCTTATAAAGCAAGGGTTCTAACCACTGCGTCACGGCTGCACAAACATTTAAAAAATATACATATATAATATATTTTTTTTAAATATACAAAAAAAAAGTGTGCGAATTTTACTTTACATATTTCTAAAAAAGGTGTAAAATTATTCTCTTGAGAATTTTTTTCAAAATGTGCTTAATCTACATGACATTTTCTATTAAAAAACAACTAAAAACCATTGTATTTTTTGTCAACTTTAGGTATAAAATTATATACTGTGTTGTACCACATAGTTCTACCAGTGTGCCACTTTTTTTAATAACCATGAATCTGCTGATTAACCATACAACTGTCAAAAACCTTGTTTTATATGGATAAGACAGGGAGTTAAGACTGAATTTAACTGCAACATAAAATGTCTAAATTTGTTTAATATTACTCCATATGATTGCACATGCAAATTAAATACTTATTTAAACTGTTGTTCTCCTGTGATATGTAGATAAATAGATGTACATTGGTTAGTAATCCTTAAACTCCTTATAAAATAATATTCTTATTGAAAAGAAACCTAATACTAAAGTTTTGGCGCTCCTAGATATTGTTTCTTATAAACAAATTTCTGATTAAAAAAAAACATAAATTAGCTTGTTAAAAAAAAACTTACCTTTATATGATTTTTAACTTTCTTAAAATATTTGTGTAAATGTAGCAATGCAAAGTTTAGAACATCTCTTATTTCAGCAGAACTTTCATTATTATTTAAATTTGAAAGAAAGCACTTGATTTCTTTAACAACACGCTGAAAATCTATATCAGGATAAAGAGTTGCAGTCGAAATTTGTAAATATTACTGCTGCTATTTAGTATCTTTATTCTTCTTATTATTATTATCATTATTATTACTACTACTACTATTACTATTATTATTATTATTATTATTATTATTGTTATTATTATTATTGCTATTATTATTATTATTATTATTATTATTATTATTATTATTATTATTATTATTATTATTATTATTATTAAACACAAACAGATGTATATATATATATATATATATATATATATATATATATATATATATATATATATATATATATATATATATATATATATATATATATATATATATATATATATATATATATATATATATGTGTGTGTATATATATATATATATATATATATATATATATATATATATATATATATATATATATATATATATATATATATATATATATATACATATATATATATATATATATATATATATATATATATATATATATATATATATATATATATATATATATATATATATATATATATATATATATATATTATATATATATATATATATATATATATATATATATATATATATATATATACATATATACCTTTATTTTGTAAAATCATTCTTTATTATAATGTTTATTATTGAAAGCCTTGATTAATTTTGTTGAAAGCTAGATATCTTTAATTTTCTTTTTATTATTTTGTATGTTTAATTAACTAATTAAACCTTTTGCAGATTCGAAACGTGATCTAATTTACCATTTTTTATGTTTATGTTTTAAATGCCTCGATTACCTTCATTACACTTTGTATCCAAGCAACTTCAAAAGTGCGGTAATGTGATGTTTTTTTTTAACTAGCATTTGTATTAATAAATAATTTATAGAAAACGTTTGCGGTATTACAAGAGAATATTTAAAGTTTGGAAAGTTGAAAGAGTTTAATGTTGTATTGAAAATTTAAACAATTTTTAGCCTGATATTTTTAGATATTAAGCATTTCAATAAAGTTTGCCCCCCCCCCCTCCTTCTTAACTGGATCCGTCACTGATTTTTATAATGTTTTATAAACTTCTTTCTAAAACATTGTCAACACATAAAATAGTGTTTATTTCTACTATTAATCTTGAAATCCCATAACCACTTTTTTATCTCATACTACATTATTTTTTGAAAGCAATAAATTCCATAATTTAGGCAATTTTAGACTCTAAATTATTCGATCTTAAAACATTTTGTTAGAATATTTTTGTCATTGCAAATAACATTTGTAACATTGTATTAAAATATTTGTTTTTTTGTTTTGGAAAAGATTTCATCAACGGGTTCGCAAAAACAATCCAACAGCAATCCAGTAAAAACAAGGCTTTTATTTGCAGAAAAGATGGGTAGGGCAATGCTGTTGTTGTCAAAGTCAAGTCAAATCTTTATGTAACATATTACTTATAGCTTTTATAACAAAGATAAAACTGGCCTATTGTAATGCATTCAGCAACTTTAAACTCTTAAATTAAATATGGTAAATGACATTATGAGTACCCGTAGAAAAACGTAGTTTTTAAGAAGTACGCATTTTTTAGCTGCACTAAAAACAGAACCCAGACCATTAAAAAGGGCTAAGTGTTTCCCGTTTCAATAATTAATGAAAAACAGAGTAACGACTGATATAATACTTTGACTTAGAATGAGATGCACAACATTCCTGTCCATGGTATACATGATAACCTAAAAACACAACCAATAGATATAAAAACATATGAATCAATAATTTGCATTCTTTAAAGACCGCAAACAAAATAGTAAAATTATTTTGTTTGCGTTCTTTAAAGAATTTATTGATCTTGGAAAAAAATTAATTATCAAACGCACTCAAGAGTTTAAGTCTGGAACTGCTGAAACAATTGAAGCTCTTTGCTTTTAAAAAAGCATAACGGAATCTAGAAATATGAGAACATTCTTAAGTTGTTAATTAAAGCGTACAGTGATGTTCACTAACTGTTTTACTGATTTGTTTATACAACTTTGATATTGCAACCTGTAAAATAATTATCGCTCACGGTGGCGTTTTACTCTGAAATAAATTAGTACCGGTCTTAGTACAATTTAATACAAAAATTGTTTTCACCTGCTGCAAGTTTTGTACATGTACCTATAACATTTTTTTTAACAAGAAACAACTCTATTAGCGGCATTTGGGTTCTTTAGAGTAATTAAGGCATGAAGATTTCAAACAGTTGTTTTTTGTTGCAAGAGTGACAAATACTAAAGCCAATTATTCAACAGCATTCTAAGCAAAAGAAATTCAATTTTTTGAGTTTTTTCGGTTTCTTTTTAAGTAAATTGAGAATTAAACTTGTATTCTACTCTTGAAAAAAAAGCAACAGTCATTACTTTGTTTTATTATTTTTAACATTTGATGACAACAATTTAAATAGGAACTCTTTACAGCTTTACTGATAGCTTTTGCAAGTCTTCTAGATTTTCTAGACTTATCTTTCTAAAATCAGTGGTGTTACTCGAAACTTTTTTGGGGCCTGTAACCCCAAAAATTCCAATAACAATGGTGATGAGACTTTATAGTGTAATGATAAAGATAAATTTTTCAAAGTAATACTATCTACAGCGAATAATGAAACACAACGGGTGTACATGAAACGATGATGCTTGAAGAAATACCGAAGGCTACTTTGCGTTAGATAATAATCTCTATATCCTCTACATATGTAGTGACTGTATATCTTTTATATATGTAGGTAGTACTACCATGAATCCAGTTTTGCACTTTAGTGAAACTTGGATATGAAAGTAAAAAAAGCGAGAGAGAAAAAAGGAAGTTTGTCTTGGATCGTACTCGTCGGACACACATTCTTACCAAGAACACCTGTACCTTTAAGTTGATAATATTTTGCAATATTTCTAAAATTCCAATATTTTACAACTTTTTTTGTTGATTTAATCTAGACAAGGAGAGATATTTAAAGAACTCAGAGTAAATAAAGTATAATTTAATAAATGAATAACATATTATTATACAAAATATTAAATAAAGTTTTTAAAAATTTTAAACAAAAATTTATTAACTACTATATTAAACAATTAAATCATCCTTAAAAAGTTTTTTTACTTTTTGACTTTTTTATAGTTCTTTCAATAAATTTCATGACAAAAGTTTTTCACGACGAAAAAATGTATCAGTTTTGATGAACTTTTTATTTGGTTTTAAAACAGCAACTTCTAAACAGAGTAGATGTTATTTAGATCCAGGAGCATTTGACCCAACGAAGTTTAAAAGATGTTTTTCAAAAGTTTTGACAACTTTTAAACGTTTAAAAGTTGTCAAAAATGACAAAAACTTGATTAATAATTAATGCTTGATCAAAAAAACGGAAATTTGAAAACTATGCCATATGTTATTTGAAAACTAAATAAAATTGCCTTTAATTTGGTATGTCATATATTTTTACGAACAACTCGGTTTTTGAGTTATTTGTGGTTATAAAAACTGTTTTACTCATTTTTTAGGCATAATGTTTTGTGCATTATTTTATTCGAAGTTATAAAAAAATTAAAAAAACACAGACAAACTCAAGATTTCAAATTTTTTCCTCGCTTTATATAAACAAAGCATAAACAATATCGTTTTCATAAACTTTGAAGCATGTTTTTCTACTATACCCTATCTCACCACACGATTTGCATCACATTCGAGCTTTGCTCTGTTGTCCATTAACTAAAAGATGAAAACCTACCCAGAGTCATTTAAATCAATATTCCTATTTTATTTATTTGATAACTTTTCTCTGAATTGAAAACTCTTAATTGTTTTTTGTTTGCTTCTATGCCTCCTCACTCCACAATTTAAACCCTGAGTTATTGTTTAACTCAATTAGCTCCCAAGTATGTCCTAATAGCTTAAGAACAGTAGATATCATGCTAATCATTTCTTGTAGAAGTAGAATATTTGTCTCCATACATATGTCTCCATATTTTTTTATCTTAACTTTCTGACTAGATGACTTTGCAAAAATAACAGTAGACCATAAGATACCATACCTCTCAGCTAATATTCTGTCCTGTTGATTTAAAATGCTCTGTGACAAGACCATTTGGGCACCTAAATAAAAATATTAAAAAAATATTTTTATGGTTTACAAAATTAAATTATTAAAAATTTGTTTTTTTGTAAAGTTTTATTTTAACATTTGAACTACGGACATTTTCAACATTATGCTAATGAACACCAAATAGATCTCCATGTTAATATTTGTCACCTTGGAATTGATGAATGTCAGGTGAATATAATTAGTGACATATCCAGGGGGGATGGAGGTATGCACTCCCTTCCCCACCAGACTCTGAAAGTAAATATTTTAAAATTCCTTATGGAATGATTAAAGCAGCCGTGGCGCAGTGGTAGCGCACTTGCCTCAGAAACGTAAGACCCGTGGTTCAAACCCCACCTCTAGGAAAGTTTTGCGACATCGGTTAGGAAGGAGGCGTGAACTTCCTATTAAATGCTTTTCCACAGTGCTCTGTGATAAGTAAAGTAATACCGTAAGGACTTCTTGGGGCACCTAAATCAACTTAAAAAAAGTAAAAAATAAAATAAAAAAATAAATAAAAATGATTAATTTGAAAAGTATATTTAAAACTGTATTTTACGTTTTTCTCTTATATTTTAAAAGTTTTTTTAGTTGGAGGCATCTTTAAGGGGATAAAAAATTAAACAACTGCATTATAAAATAAAATTCTTTGCCATTGGGGTATACATGTTGATTGCAAAAGGGATAGTAGAAACAGTATCGAAAACAGCCAAACTGAGTACGCTCGAAAAGGGAATTTCCGGAACAGTATCAAAAAAAAGAATAAAACCGAAATTGTTAAAAAAGGAATTGTATCTAAAATACGAAACACAGAATAAGATTGAAAGAGCTCAAAAGAGAATAAGTTTGAAAAACGACTTTTTTTTTTAAATTAATTCCTTAAAATTAATTTTCAATACTAATCCCAAATTACGTTTCGATAAAAAAATTTTCGATACTATTCTGCTTGCCCTGCAAAAGTCGGTATATGAACTTTTGTTTTGACTCTTTTGCAATTGAGCAATACTTAAAATCAAATAAAAGTAATATTTAAAGCTCTAAAGTATTTATTACAGAGAAATTTAATGATTGTTTTACAGTTTTTTAAAATAAAAGTTATCATAAGACATATATTTAAAAGTGGAGACGATTCTATTGCTCTAACTACAGATCGCTTTCTACTTTACAAAATATTGAAGAGGATAATGCACATTAGACTTCATTATTTATTAAAAAAGGAAATTTTTATTATAAATTTATCCAAATCAGACTAAAAAATCCTAATCTGCTATTTGTGATCTGGTCTGTGATTTGTGATCTGATGTAATCTGAAAGATCATAATCTACTATTTGATTAAATAAAACTTAAACTCAGTTTGACTTAAACTCAGTTAAGTTTTTGGGCATAATTCTTAATGAACATATCAGCTAAAGTAATCATATCAAAATTGAAGAAAATAATCTAAAACTGTTATAAACGTTGTTTAACATTGTTATAACCTAAAACTGTTATAAACGTTGTTTTTAAAACAAAATATCTTCTGAAAACAAACTTTTCAGAAATTATTTCTTATTTATTCATAGCTATATTAGTTAATGTAACATAATCTAGGCAAGTAATTATAACGAGGGTGAAAAAGTAATGGCTTTCTGTTAAGATATTTTTATAAAAAACTTTTTAATTATAAAAAATTTTTTTGTTGTAAAAAAATTTTTCCTTATAAAAGAATTATTAAAAAAACTTATAAAAAAACCTTTTTCTTTTAAAAAAAAGTACATATTAAAAAGTACATATTGAAGTTTATAAAACATTTGCTATTTTACTTTTAGAAACCTAAAAAACCCTTAAATTCATACATTGTTGTTAAAATCATTGAAATCATTTAATTTAAAACCATATTTACTTTTAACGAGTTTTTTTGTTTGTTTGTTTGCATTATTGTTAGTTAAGTTTTGTTATGTGTTGCATTTGTAATATCGTCACCCAGTCAGCCTAACTCAGAAAAAAGTTTGTTTCTGTTGCGTGTAAAACCTTCTAAAACAAAAAGAATAACACGTGTTAAGAATGGTTTTTATTGCGTAAAATTAACTAATACTATTTATCAAAAATAACCATAAATATAAAATAATTATGGTTTCCCCGTTAGAGGTCGTCCATAAAGTAATTACGCTTTTTTTCGTCAACCTTCCCCCTCCCCCCTCACTTTGTAATACGCTTTTTTGAGTACCCTCCACCTCCCTAAAAGTACTTACGCTTTTAACTTATTCACCTAACATTTTTAATAATTTTTTTAATTTAGTGTCTCCTTTCTTTTATAATTGATCCACTGCCCTCCCGTCTTATATACGCTGTTTGCAGATCCCCACTTCTCCTCCGAGCGTACGTACTTTATGGACGATCCCTTACGGAAACGTAGTAGTATATTATAATAAATTTGTGTAAAAAATGTGAAACCACTAATGTATGCAACATTAAAATTTGACTTTAAAATCTCAAAAAAACGTGTTTTCTTTGAGATTTTAAAGTCAAGTTTACACACAAGGGTCTAGAGCTTAAAGTATTTCTAAAAGCTAGAAAGGTCGTAAATCATTAGAAAAAAAATACAAGAAACGAACTTATCGAAGTTGACTCTTACATCAAAGTATTCATTTAAATGAATACTTTGATATAAGATCAATTAGATTTAACAAAGGTAAAAAAGTAATGGCTTTCTGTTAAGATATTTTAGGACTGGTGGAATATGTTGTCGAAAAAAGAAATATTTCAAGCAAGTACAATTTAAAAGTTGGTATTGAGGGAGGAACAAAATTTTTAAAAGTTTGTTTATCTATCTTAGATTGTTGCAAGGTGTCTAAGAAAAAAATTTAGTGATGATGGGGGTGTATATAAAGAAAAATACAAAGATAGTGAGGTCAACACACTTATAATTATTGCACTTGTAGAAAATTTGTATTAAATATTTTTGTGCATTTGATATGAAGTTGGCAAAATTTATTTTGGATTAGAAACTGCAATATCAACTTATTCTTGATGTATAGCTAGCAATGATGATTTTCAAATTTTTAAATTTTAAGGTAAACATAAAACACTTGGAATGATTATCAGCTAATAAAGACAGAAAAAAACTTGCAGGGAAAATTAAAAGATCAAAACTCTCTTTTGCATTTTATAATAACTGTGTGAGCCAACCAATTTTAAATCTACAAGATGAAAGAATTCTTGAAAGATTATAAAAATCCTTGCTCCCATGGATCTTCTTATTATAACTTCATGGAGGGGAATCCATGGATCTTCTTATTGGAAACAATGGAGCTACATCTTCTTATTGGAAACAAAACAGACTTTTTAAATGTCTCAATAATTATTCAAAATCAAAAGAATTTTTTTTTTAAAGAAGAGTAGTGAAATGTAAAACTAGGCTTTAATAAACCATAACTTCATGGAGGGGAATCCAAGGACGGGGGAGGGGGAGGGGCAGTGTTCAAAACTGAAACAGATATTTTAAAAGATTTAGTCAACTCACTGGATAATGACGAAGATTTTTTTTTTAAGTTTAGCATTTAAATATTCGAGAGAAGTAAAAGTTAGTTACTTAGAAATGAATTTAAAACAAGGCAATGAAGTAAAAATCAAAGAATTTTAAGTAGCTTACAGTAAACTTGAATTAAGGGTATCACCTAATGTACACGCATTAGTAAAACATACAGAGAAATTTTAAAAAATAAAGTTATCCAAACAAATAACTAAGCCATTGGTACGAACAAGTTTCTGAATCTGTTTATTATAATTTTTGTCAGTTCTGGGAAAACAGTTACAAGGTATCCAGCTGTCATAAAACTGTTCTAAAAACCATCTTAAAGTTATTCTCGTCACACTCTTTTTCAAAAAATTTTGCTGAATGAACTCATGTACTCGTTTATCTTATTTATTATACTTATATATTGTGAAAAGTTAGTTTGTAAAAGTAAAATATCAGACTAATTCTATATCAAACATTCAATATATGTATAATATCAAATACTAATTATAAATTTATGTAAAATACCCATAAAACCTTTAACAAAAAAATCGAAATTTTATTTTTGTATTTAAGTGATCAAAGCCAATCCTGTCAGTGGCGTCACTAGAGGGTTGCAGATCACACCGAGTGACACCATCACAAGGTGACACAGAGGGGTAACACTTAAACGAAAAAAAAAAATAAATGACAGAACTGCTCGTGTTCAAATTTATTTTTGCGTTCAGCTTAACTAATAGTTTCCAGGTTTTGATTTGTCGTCAGCTTTTTTAGTAAAAGTTTAGAGGGTTGACAACATAAGTTTACCGCACTAGGCACTGGGTGACACCAGCCCCAGCAACGCCACTGAATTTTACTCAAACTAAAAAGTTAATAAAATCTTTATCAAAAATACCGGAATTTTTTTTACTTTTTTAACGGTGTAAGAGTGATTGGAGTTACCCTACTTTGATAAGAAGTACCCTTTCCTAGTGCGCGCTTGCTTCAGAAACTAGAGATCCGTGGTTCTAAGCCAATTTTTATAATATAACATGGGTAAGGATGGAGGCGTGAACTTCCTTTCAAATGCTTTTCCGCTTTGCTCTGTGATAAGGCCGTTAAGACTTTTAGGGGCACCTAAAATAAATTGATTAAAAAAGAAAGTGTAACACCCATTTATAACTTTTTTTCCAACTTTATATTAACAAGAATTAAAACTCATGGCCAGATATCAAATTTCATCTGAAAAAAATCCGTTCAAAGGTTGTGAGTATTTAAAGTTATGTGTTGGGGTAAATAGACAAATAATAGACCTGAAATGTCAAAAACTTTTAAACAGCAACTGATTTAATGATAAAACTTTAAATCCTTCAACTATTTTTTATTTAGATTAAGATATTATGAAAAATAAAATCTCTGACAAGGTTTATCAAAATAACTTCATATAACACTATTTATTATTTATTTAAAAAAAAAACTAAAAAACTAACCATAAAACTTGAGCTATATAAAATTTGCTTTTCCTTATAGTACCAGCAGGCTGGTCACACAGATTATTTAAAATTTGCACTCTGGTCTTATCTGACTTATCTAAGTAAAAACTCGCCATCTATTTAAATATTGCCACTGCATTCATTTTATTTCAAAACATAAGTGCTCTAGATATAAACCGTTTTGTTGATGCTAATATAAAACATATTAGAGTAAATAAGGAAAAAAAAAAAAAAAAAAAATACAAGAAGTTGTAAATACTTCTTTTTTTATGGATCATTCCATGCTTTTACTTTCAAATAAACTCTCCTTCTTTGGATGTATGTATATTAAATAATAGGTTTTTTTCAACCCTTACAAAAAAAAAAAAAAAAAAAAAAAAAAAAAAAAAGATTTTTATTTTTATCTACCATTTCCCTGTATTTAGTCTCCTCTCAACCTCTATCATATAATCTTTTTTAATTTCACTAAAGGACATAATATTTGGAGGCTGTCTCATCACCCAGTAATCAGAAAATTCTTCAAATATTTCAGTAAAAAACAATTGAAATGACTCAAGAGAATAATCAACTTCTTGTAAATTATAGATATATCCTTTTAACCTTCCGCTTCGTAACAAATCAAAACATGTGCTTGTAAAGTTTATAGCCATAATTGCAAAGGAAAATCCATACTGCGGATGGTTTGATTGCCCATAAATCTTCATTCCAATTTTTTCCTTATTTTCAAGAAGATAAATCATATTCTTTAATCCTAAAATACCCATCCCCCGAAAATCTGTTGCTGGATTTGTACCTTGAAACCCAATTTCGCTCCATCTTGAAGTATGCCTCTCCATCAGTTCATCATCTTTTTTTATTAAACACCAAAGTTTTTTAAGTGAATCTTCATGTTCTTCATTAGTTTCATCATATTGAATACTTCGTATTAAGTCTACTTCGTTCAATAATGCATTATAGCTTATTATTTTACACAACAAGTATGGCATGGATTTCACAAATGTCTCATTTTTTTCTGGAATTATGCGCTTCACTCTCATTATTGTCTCCATTGCTGTTTTTGTTTTCATTTTATCAGAAACCAATATTTTTCGTATAGCATCATTTTTAGAACAATAAAGGCTATTTTCAACTTCACAGCATTGCTTGTATCCATAAATTACTTCACCATTAAATTTCATTTCACATATTCGTTCCAATTCACATTTTCCTGTTATCAACCTTAATATCGATTTTACCAAAGAACGAGATGTAGGACCAAATTTGGAATAAATGTGTAAAATAGATAATATATAATCCATTAGTTTTGTAGCTGTAAAATATACAATACTAATATATATATATATATATATATATATATATATATATATATATATATATATATATATATATATATATATATATATTAGTATTGTATATTATATATATATATATATATATATATATATATATATATATATATATATATATATATATATATATATATATATATATATATTTCTGATTCTAAGTAAAAAAAACTTATAAATTAGTAGTGTTTAATATTTACAAACTATCAAACCATTATAATATCATATTATAATATGTATATATATATATATATATATATAATATATATATATATATATATATATATATATATATATATATATATATATATATATATATATATATATATATATATATATATATGTATATATATATACAAATAGTATTGCGTACTAAGGTAAGCAATCTGAGGTCATTCTGAAATAACCTGCTGCTGGGGGCTTCAGTACATACATCGACTGACAAATAACCTGACTGGCAGTGGAGTGCTGGAACATCGACTGAGGGTTTGGGATGGGGAAGCAATGGTTTTATTCACCATTCTTCGTTTTTTCTTCTTCTTTTTCGAAAAAAATGGTATAGCTTAAAGTAAGCAGAAAAAGTGAGCAAATGCTTATTAAAACACGCTTTAGTAAGTGTATATATATATATATATATATATATATATATATATATATATATATATATATATATATATATATATATATATATATACATATATATATATATATATATATATATATATATATATATATATATATATATATACATATATATATATATATATATATATATATATATATATATATATATATATATATATATATTAAATATGCATAATACAAAGTTAGTAAAACAATCATTTTTCAACAACTTTTTATTTTTTACTTAAAATTGATTTTCTATAATTATTTTTATTTTATATTTTCATTGAAAACTTTTCAATTTTTTTTTAAGGAAACTAGGAAATTCCTGAATTCAAATTATTTTGATCATAGTTTTAAAATCAAGAGAATTTTAAAACTAGTTTCGATTAAACGTTGCTGGAAAAAACCGAAAACTTACTTGAAAAAATAATAACTAGAATTTACTAGTTAATCAGATTTAAATTCTAAGAAGTAATTTAAAGTAAATTGATGCAAAATGTATAAAAATAAAAACATTAATTTGTTAGATTGAGTTCAAACGAACGAAGTTGTTCTAAAACCTCATTGGATGTAAAGGTCAGAAAGTATTTTTATATTTCATTTAGTAAATAAAACAAAGTTCTTCAAATGATTCTTAAAATACGTTAAAAACTAAATATTCTTAAAAGATTATTTTATATTAACTAACTTCAATATTTATTTTCAAAAATCTTCTGTTGACGCGTACTAGATGTTCGCCAATTTCGGCAAATAATTTATCTATAAATATAGTTTTAAGCAAATGTTATTAAAGGTAATATATAAATCAAAAAAGCAAGTAGTTACTACTCGGTGTAGTTAAGGCGATATACAAATTATTCGAATTCTTTTATTTTAAATTAGCATGATTTTATAAGCTTATGATTTAAAAAACTAAATATTCCTAAAAGATTATTTTATATTAACTAACTTCTATATTTATTTTCAAAAATCTTCTGTTGACGCGTACTAGATGTTCACCTATTTCGTCAAATAATTTATCTATAAATATAGTTTAAACAATTTTGTTAAATCAAGGGAATATATAATGCAAAAGAGCGAGTAGTTAAGGCGATTTACAAATTATACGAATTCTTTTATATGAAATTAGCATGATTTTATAAGCGTATTATGTCCAAACAAGAAAAAAATCTGAAGCAAAAAAATTTTTTTTGCTTCAGATTTTTTTAATATTAAAAGAAACTTTCTTTTTTGTATATAACTTTCAAAACCTTTTTACTACCCCTAATAGTGAATCTAAAGAACACCATTCGAACTAGGATCTATAGTAAACTATGGAACTTTTTCAAAAGTTTTAAACTAAATCAGTTCTGACGTATATTAACTATATACAGTTGTCAAAATACAGTGTTTCTATCAATTTTAACAAAAAATACTATAATTCCGACCAAGAATAAGCTTATAATTAAGAAAAAGCGCCAATAAACGATCAGAACAGATCGTATTATTAAACTATGATGTTCATTTTACCTAAAAATCGTTTTTATTAAAAATCTTATTCAAACTTGGAAAGCGATCGGGATTTTAAGAAGATTTACAAAAAAAAAAAAAAAAAAGTTTTGGTCTTAACTACACCAAATTAAAATTGCCTTAACTACACCGAGTACTACTACTTCATATTGTGGTTACACTTACTAAATATTAGGCGTGTTTCGTAATTTTTTTGTAAAATTTTCGTAAAATGATTTAATTAAGTTAGGGTTTGTTGAACTTTGATGTGGTAATATATATTTTTTTAAATTTAATGTAATAATATATAAATCGCTAACTTGAAAAAGGGGACATGTTCTGCAAAAATTCACATAACATGTTCCCTTTTTCAAGTTAGCGATTCATAGTTAGCGATTGTAGTGTGTGTTTTAATATTATTATTATATTATTTAATTCCAAACTTGTCGTCCTCTATTAATTATAGAAAATTTGACGGCTTCAAATTTAAGCTTGTTTATTGTTTTCATATTCAAACAATAATATTATTGTTTGAATATCTGCCAAAATAATTTGTGCTATAATTGGGAATGTAAGAGACGGTGAACATCGGATATTATTTTAACTGAATATTTTTGTTAAAAAGTTTTTTTTATGTTTTTTATTGGTGCTGCAACAAGCAATATCGGCATAAGTGTGGTAGCAATAAATAAAAAAAATAGATGTTATTTAAAGCAAATTTCTTGAAATGAAAGGATTTGCTTAATAAAGTATGATAACATTTTAAAAAATAAAGTGAATGTGGATTTTCTCCAGTGACATTTTTGTCAAAAAGAACTTCTGAAAGTTTAAACGTTTTTTTTTTAATATAACGACTCACGTGTATTGATGTACTTGTTTTATCATTACGCATATGTATCAATACGTACAAAGAGAAAATTACCAATTCTAAAAAAAAATTGACAAAACATAAATACAAACTGTTGGCAATAGTATAGAAATTTTAAGAATGACGAAACAAGTAAAAGGTCCGAATCTGACGGCAATGCTGACGGTGGCGAAGTTGTTATGAAGTGAATAACTTATTGATTGATGAGGTGTTAATCACAAATAAAATGATTAATAATAATAATAATAACAATAACAACAATAATAATAATAATAAGTTAAATAGTTAGAATTTTAAAAAGAACTTTAATTAAAAATGAAATTCAAATTTCGTCAAAAGCAAGGTTAGGATTACTCACTCAGTTAGCTCTGGGTAGGCTTTATTCAAGAGATAACTTGTTGGAATTTATGCTGACGTAATTAAAAGAACCATGGAATTATAAAACAGATGGAAGTTCAATCATATTGAAATGGTTTGGAACCTATTGTCTTGCAAACAAAAGGAAAACGATATCAAGACTGTGTTTAAACGCATGATCTTTATAAAGATAAGGCGTATAAACTATATACGTTGACGCATATAGGTACGTTGATAATAATTTTAAAATACAGTTTTTTGATGGTTTGCCAATAATTATAAATATTATAATATTTATACTTATTGGCAAACCATCGCCATGGCAAACGTTCGCATTAATATTAATGCGGCAACAAAACGGCAATAACAATTTTTTCTTAAACTTTATATTAAATGAATAGCGTACTACAAGCATGAATGGAATTATAAAATACAACTAATGAAACTTTAAGCTTATTTAAAAAACAACTTTTTTGATTTAAAAACTTTTTTGTAAAAATTGTTTTAGCTGACTTTTTTAATCAAATGTCGTATTATAATTCAAAACAACAAAAAAAAGCTTGAACTAACATAGCCTTTTAAACATTTTGTTGAATAATTAAAATTTCTAATGGTTAACTATGTAGCGTCAACATGGAATAGTTTTTTTTAACAAAAATCGTTTCAGTGAGTTTTTGTTGTTTTTTATCCAGTGAAACTTGTTTTTTTATTGCTGGTTACAAACTTAAAACCGAAACGACTAGAAATTGGGTTGATGTTTGCCGCTTGATGAACTTCCGTTTGTTTTATAATTATTCCATGAAAGAATTTGGTACTAAAATGAAATTTTTGATGCTTTAGTTTGCCGAATAAAAGAACAGAAAAGGTAAACGCCAAAAAAAAAAAGTTCGAGTTGAGTAACTTGGTGCAATATTTACATTATGATAAGAAAGAAAAAATAACGATAGTCGAAACTATTTTAATAAAAATGGCAGCCAAGAAAAGTAAAATAGCTTGGCTTTATAAAGATGATAGCATAAAAATTGCTGAAATATTCATAAAAAAATTAATAACTTCGAAACCACAGGCATCATGTCCTATTTAGCAAACAAATGTAGCGCCAACACAAGTTATTTCAGCCTTAAAAATAGAGTACCTACTCATTATCTACTCGTTGCCAAATATCTACTCGTTAATCCGGATTTAAATTTGTTAATTCAATTTAGATTTAAACAATAAAAGTAATACAAAATAATTTAAATAATATAAAATTAATAAAGAATTTTAACTTTTAAATGTAAAAATTAATTAACGCATGTTTATAAGTTATTTTGTTTAGTAGTTATATTAATAATTATATGATAAATTTTATAAAAGTTTTTATTTTTAAATATTTGGTCAATTTAAACTGCCATATAGCTACTGCGTAATATTCACATAGAAAAAAAAAAAGACTTTATTTGTGATTTATATTTGTGATTTATATTGGGATTTATCTTCTGATTTTAAAATGAACCGTTTGTAAGTTTTTACTCGATTAAATAATATTTTTCCAAACTTATGTTAAAAAAATATATTTGTGAGTATGTAAGAAAACAATAAATTCGATAAAAACTCATAGTTTTATTTAAGAAGGATATTTTAAAAAAAACGAGGTATTATTTATTTCTAAAATTTAACAATCTTATAGTCTAACAATATATAGCAATACTTATAACAATAGTTATTACAATAATAATAGTTTTATTGTTATAAATACCATTATAAATATTATTATTACTATTATTATTGATCATTTATACCTAGATGAAAAAGAACTTATATAACAATTCGAGAAAACTTGTTTAGAATCAACTGATTTCCATTTAATATTTTTCTGAAAAATAAATTTTAAACGATTATTTAAAAATGTTAAGCATAAATTAAGATCTGATTGATTTTATTATTACAAATAAATGTATTATAATTATAATGCATTATAAATACAAACGTTTTTTGCAAACTAAAATTTATGTTAATGATATAAAATCTTTTTTTTATATTTAAAAATTTTAAACATTTATAATTCTACGATTAGAAATCATTATGGATCGTATTATGGATAAAGTGAGTTTAAATATTGTCTTGGCTTTTCATTCTTACACAAAATACCCATGCTTTGACGGACTGGTTTCGGTGATAATGGCGGCAAATTTTTATAAAAATAATAACATATTCTATATACCATACTGGAGAACCAATGAAAGCTTTCAAAAAATAAAAAAAGCGGTAATGCTTCTCGGTACAAAAAATACAATGATTATATACATGGATTGCTCCCCAGAACTTACAGAAGAGGTTGATTTCTTGTCGAGTATATTACACAAAACAAGGGTTCTAGTAATTGACCATCATTCTGTGTCAAAAAGTTCAAAAATGAATGTGTTGCAAGAGTTTTCAAATTTCACTTATGTTTTTGATCAAAATCGATGTTCCAGCATTATATCGTACGACCTGTTCAAATTCAAAGAAGAAGCAGATTCCTCAATGAAAAATCTTCTTTCTTTTGTTCAGTTTACTGATTATGACGGTCAAAATGTTGATATCGCTGGAAAGTCTCTCGCTTACAGTCTTGCCCAAAAAACAATTCAAAAAACTGTACTAAACTTTCCCTATCTCAAACACAATGTTGAGAAAATAACCAGTGCTAAGATGGAACTCTATTACCTTTTACGTTATATTACACCAAGTTCAAACGATTGGGAATTTCTATACTCCGAAGAGCCATATAAAATGGAAGTTTTTAATGAAAAATGTAATAGTTACCTATCATACTGCTTTTCTATACTTTCTGGAAATAACGATAAAATTTATTGCGAAGAGTTTATAAATAATTTTATTGAACTAACAGATAAACTAGTATTGACATTAAATAACGCTAACACAAAAAATGTTGAAGTCGTTGGTGGCATCAACAGTCGTATTTTAATCGTATATTTAGATATTTCAAAGTTCGGAAGAAACCTAGAACCGCTTACAAGAGACGCAATGATAAAGACAGGATCGAATTTCGCTATAATAATAAATCCACCAACACATTTAAAAGATGGTACTCTAATGTATTACTTATCATTAAGAAGAGTTAACGAAAGCTTTGATGCACGCGACTTAGCGGAGTTACTTAAGAGTAAGTGTGGTAGCAACATTGGTGGAGGACACCCGTGGGCTAGTGGCGTAACATTCAACCAAGAGCAATATGATTGTTTCAAGGATATTTTTTTAACAGAAATAAACGAGGCACTTGCGTAATTTTATGACTTTAGTCATCTAATAGGTACCTATTTTAGTTATCTAATAAATACTTAATTTAATCTTGGCAAACACAAAAAGTCTGGACCCAAAGATGCTTCCTAATATAATGTAATGAAAAAATTTAATCTATCTTAACATATTAAAATTTTTGTTATAAGCATATAAAAAATAATATAACTTATAATATATCATTGAAATTTTTTTATTTTGTTCATTTTTTCGAAGATTAGTTCAGCCCTAGAATAAATGACAATACATTAATACAATATAGGAATAAATACATTTATACATTATAGCAGAATACTATTATATTATATAAATTCTAAACACTAATATAAAATATTCAAAATTCTAGTCGAACCATTAGTATTTTCATAAGTAAATTGAATTGAATTATCATATCAACCAACAACTCTTTACCAATTCATTTTATTCATTGTCAATATTTTTACACATAAAATTTCAAACGATAACGATGAACGATAAATAATTTATTATATTATAATAAATAATTGTAAGTAGCAATAAAAGAACTAGAATTAGATTCTGCCATAACAAAAGTTTCTATGTATTTCCAAATCTTGAAGAGAAAGATAACTTTTGTCACAATCGGGACAAACGCAGCTGGTTTCGATCTGCTGCTTTTGAACGCAACTGTTTTGATCAAAGACGTGCAGATTTTTAGCTGCAATTTTATTAGTTTTCCAAGGAGCTTCTAATCCGTCAAAAAGTTTTTGATGGTTTGTATTTAAATTAACCAGCGCCTCATTTATTTCGTTTCGATTGCTGCTTCGTGGTCTTGTTACAATTGTACGCGGTTCACAGGGTGGTTTGGGGGTTAAGGCATTATTTGTACTTACCTTCAATAACGATTCTGTGTATCTCTCATTTTTCGGGCTAAAGCTAAAAAATTACAATCTATTTCAGTGGGTGTTAATTTAAAATTTAAAAAAATATTATAGTATTATAGTACTAAAAAAAAAAATTATAATATTAAATTTGACTTACAAACGTACTTTCTATCTGCTCAAATTTAAAGTTCCTATGTAGTGACCCTCCTCTCCCCAAGTTGTTATATATAGTGACCCCTCCCCTCCCCAATTGTTTATATGTAGTGACCCATCCCCTCCAACCTATATGACTATTTTAGTCGTCTCCTGAAATGGTCTAATGACCTGACATAACTTTGTCCCTCTAGATTAATCAAATTTTGTGTAACAATTAAAAAAAGTATTAAAGTTCTGCATTATGTTAAGAAGCTGCAGAGTCACTCATTCTAGTTTAACATTCATGTCAATTAGGAGTGACTTGACATGAGTAAAACAATTGATAAGGCGAGCAACATGTTTTTATTGACAATATGAAATTAAAGTTTACGCTTATTTGTACTACCCCACGCAACATTTGCATAGTTTAGTTGGCAATGGATAAATGAATGATATAGTTAAGTTAAAAGGTGCTTATTTAGGATGTCTTTTGTTTTATAAAATTTTCCAAAATTTTATGCAATATTCCAATACTTTCAGATATCTTACTGCCCAAATTTTTTAAGTTCTTTTTCCATAAGAGATTTTCATCAATATAAACGCCTATTGATTTAGCGAAGCTTACTTTTTTTTTATTTGAATATTGTCAATAAAAAGAAAAGGCATGTCATTTTTTAGTAAATGTATTTCAAAATGAGGGTGGAAGAAAATCCACTTGGTTTTATCAATATTGAGAGACTTAAAATATAATTTTACTTAGTTCATTGTTCATATTTTCAAATTTATATTATTGTGAGATAAAAACAGATTAGTATCATCTGTGAACATATTGACCATTAAGCTTAAGACTTGAGATGATTAATGTAAATAAAAAATAGCAAGGTTCCTAATATTGATTTCTGAGATACTACACATGTTATATCAAGCAAACTTTTCTGCCAATTTGGATTAACGTAGACAAACTACTTGCGATAATTAAACTAATTATAATTATAATTAATAATTATAATTAGTTATTTGTGTCCCAATATTAAGTTAAGACTTATTGTTGTCCCAATAAGTCTTTACGGTCTTATCACAGAGCACCACGGAAGAGCTTTTAAAAAGAAGTTTACGCCTACTTCCTTACCATTGTTATCAAACTTTCCCAGAAGTGGCGCTGAACTACGGATCTCTAGTTTCTGAGGCAAGTGCGCTAACCACTGAGCTACGGCTGCTTATTTAAGGTGGTATCCAGCTATTAGTTCTATTTTTTTATATTTTACACATAATAAATACCTATGATGAATTACTAGCATAATAGATAAAAATCTAAAACGTAATGCAATTTTTTTTTTAAATTAATAAAAAATAATTGCTGACTCAGCAAAAAAAGGTGAAAATGTTAAGGTCACAAGAACATAAATATCTTAAGAATAAATCAATATTAAAGGTTTAAATTTTGCAAAAAGCTAGTACACTAGTGTAGCTAGTGCCTGAACCAAAAATTTTTGAAAAAAATTTAAACAATCAAAAATGGCAGACTTAATGATATAAAAAACTATTTTTTAGCGATAAAACACTAATTAGATATGGTAATTGTAGGTTAAGCTTAAATTTTTTAATCGTTTTTTCAGGTTCAGGCACTAAAAACATCAATAATGAACATATCCTGAAAATTTGAAGCTAAAACAATATTTTTTTATTGAGATATCATTGTTTTGCTACAGCCACCCGTACAAAAAACAAAAATTGAGAAAAATCAATTTTAAAATTATAAATCATGTATACTACTCAGATAAATCAATTATTTTTGAAAAAATATTTTTTCTATTGAATTCTACAATGTTCAATTGTATGAATAACATTTTTTCAAAATTTTCATTTTTTTTTAATTTTTCACCAAAATAATGGCTGGATACCACCTTAAGAACATTACCAGTTATTCTATAATATTGTAATTTGTTTATAAGAACTTCATGATCTATGGTATGAAAATATTTTTGCTAAATGTATGAAAATACCTAAAAGTATATTGGGAATTCTCATCTTACCTAGGCACAAACATACTTAAGTTTGGAGTGTGTGTATATATATAAATGTATATATATATAAATATATATATATATATATATATATATATACACATATATATATATATATATATATATATATATATATATATATATATATATATATACATATATATATATATATATATATATATATATATATATATATATATATATATATATATATATATATATATATATATATATATATATATATATATATATATATATATATATACACACACACAGTGGCGTAGGAAGGATTTTTAATGAAATAACCCACTTTTAAACAAAAAGAATATTCTAAATTTTTTTAACGTTCATATATATGACGAAAAGATTTTTCACAAAAAAAAATTACTGTGATAGGAGAATGAAAACACGAAACCCTAAAGTCTTAGCCCCTCTACCCTAAACGTGAGGACAATGAGTTAAATTATTTATTTTTTCATAAATAAAAACTAGTTATGTATTCATCGACAGATTTCAAATTTTATGTTTAAATTATTAAGTGTTCAGTTTTTATGACCATGTAAAGTTTGTGGCTCCTTCAAATTGAGGGGGGCGGGATTATTCTTTTACATGGTCATAAAAACTGAATAATTTAATACATAACTAGTTTATATTTATGAAAAAAGAAATAATTGCATATATATATATATATCTATATATCTATATATATATATATATATTATATATATATATATATATATATATATATATATATATATATATATATATATATATATATATTGCAGTTATTCTACATCACATAATTTTAATATATCTATATATATATATCTATATATATCTATATATATATATATATATATATATATATATATATATCTATATATATATATATATATATATATATATATATATATATATATATATATATATATATATATATATATATATATTTATATATATATATATATATATATATATATATATTTATATATATATATATATATATATATCTATATATATATATATATATATATATATATATATATATATATATATATATATATATATATATATATATATATATATATATATATATATATATATATATATATCTATATATATATCTATATATATATCTATATATATATATATATATATATATATATATATATATATATATATATATATATATATATATATATATATATATATATATATATATATATATATATATAAAAATTATGTGATGTAGGTACTCAAATAAAGCGAAATTTTATAAAAATTTTAAAAATAATAATTTTTTCATATAAAAATTATTATTTTAGATTTTATTGCATAATAAATATAGTTTTTTAACTAAAAGTAAAAAAGGTGCATTTTTACATGTTTTTTAATAACAATTTTTTTTGGCAATATGATTTTTATAAAACGATTATTATTTTCGAATTTTTTATAAAATCTTGCTTCTTTTGAAAAACTTTTTTTCTCCAAAATATTAGGGTACCGGTAATTTTCCCAATAAAGTTGCGCCCTTTAAATCTATCACAATCATTCTCATATTTGATAGTATCAATATTAATAACTATTAGCAATGTTTAGAGCCTGTAACAAGAAAAAAAAATTTTATGACCCAACCTAATATATATACATATATATAGTTATTTATTTTTTCATAAATATAAACTAGTTATGTATTCATCCACAGATTTCAAATTTTATGTTTAAATTATTCAGTGTAACTTGAAAATGCTAATAGAAAAAGTAGACTTCTTGTTTAAAAAAAATATAAATCTGGAAAGCATGTTAACTGCTTTGATGTACTGAGGTTGCATAGTGGGGATGTGAGTGGTGGTATTTGGATTTTAATTTTAACAGAGTAGGTGTGTAGCATTTAAGAATCAAATGAATCAACCAACACACCTATATAGAGACACTAGAGAGCTGTTCTCATGGAATGAAATGGTATTATCAGGAGATATTCTGAATGATTGAAACAAGTGATAACAATTCCAGTTCTTAAACAGTCAAAACATGGATGAAAGAAAACAAAGTAGAGTTATCATCCTAACTAGCTTGATCAATATTTGAATCTGATGGAGTCTATTTTAAAATTTGCAACAATTTTGTTAATCAATACGAAAGAGAATGTTTAGCTTGCAACAAAGCACATGCTGGCTTATCTTAAATAAATTTTAAATAAATAAATTTCAATGTTTTTTTATGGTTGTGCAAATTTTAGTATATCGCAGTTTTCTATTGATTATTATTTAAATTATATTCAATAACGTTTTTTTATATGCAACCTGATATTTTAGTTTGTCATCTAAGATAAAAAATTTGTTCAACAAAACTTGACTAACTTTTTCTGTTAGCATAATAATAAAAGCATCCAAACAAAAATAATAAAAATAAATAAATACAAAAGAAAAAGTAAATGAATAATGTATACATTATTAACAAAACCTATTTATTGCATAAAGTATTACAAAAAAATCAAGTACCTTTCAAAGGATGACCCATCTTGAGTCTAAATACAAATAGTATTATTTACAACCAAACAGATTTCGATTCAATAACCTGTTGGTATTTTGAATATTATAATAATAGGGGATATCTTTTAAAGCCTATGAATTAACTGAATATCTGCAAAGGTAAAGATATGATTACATCATATTTTATAGTAAAATTTGTTTAGAATAAGTTTTAAATCATTATCAAACTTTTTATGGTTTGATAACCTGTTTTAAATAATATAATGCAATATTTATTTTAGCATGTAGATCTAAAATTTTTTACTTGTGTTTAAATTTGATTCAAAGTTCAAATTCAAATTTTAAGAATAAAATAAGAATGCAAAATAAAAATAATAAGTTATTTCCTTATTTACCATATACAAATTTAAAGTAGCTTAAATTAAAATTTAAGCTACTTTAAATTTGTTATTTTAAAAACATATCTATGCTTGATTTAACATTTTTCAATTTTGAATATACCATACTTATTATACTCTAAATCTGGCAGCAGGGTAATTCCATGTAAAAGTGGGACAAAAAATTGAAATTTTTCAGTCACCCTCTCAGATTTCTTTCAAATTTGAACCAGTGGTACCTATCAATATAACAAAAAAAATGTAAAGTTTGAGCTTCCAAATCCAAACCGTTCAAAAGTTATGACATTTTGAAATTCAGCCCAAAACGTCCTATTTTTTTCCACTTCTGCCATTATGAACTTAGTAGTAGTACTTTTAATTGAATAATTTAAGATCTAGTGGGAAAATGTGGCTGAAAACCAGTACCTGACCATTTTTGAGGGTGCTGAATTCAAAAATGTAGATAAAATAGTGAAATTTAAATTTTTTGATAGTTATTTTTTCATTTTAAAATGGCCAGTCAAATTTTTTGTTTTGTAACCATGGGTTGCGCTTTCATTAATTCCCGAAGTTGCCCAAGTCTCATGGATTCGATTTTTTTTTCAAATGAAGTAGGTGATCCTAGGCTATCTTTATAAAAAAAATGGTTTTGGGTTCTTAAAGCATAGAAAAGATATTTCATTTTGAAATTTAGACAAAAAATTTCTTTATTTGGCATCTATTCTCTATTATAGATTTTATAGCGATACTTATTGTGTGAATAATTTAAGATCTAGTAGAGAAATATGACTGCAAATTGGTATCTGACCATTTTTAAAGGTGTTGAACACAAAGACGAAGAGAAATTAACCCAATTCCTAATATTTTAAAATAATATTTGAATTTTAAAATGGTATAATATTACCTAACCAAAAAACGGGGTAACATTTTCACAAATTGCCTGACTCTCATGGCTTCAATTGTGGTGTGTAAAAACAGTTTATTAAGGTTGATTTTGATATAGAAATAAAATTTTGTGAAGTGAATTATCATGAAAAATATAGTTTTGCAACACCTGCTGTGATGTGTAAATATAGTTTTGGGACGTCAGTTATGTGTCTAAATATAGTTTTAAAACAACAGTTAATAATAACAAATTTCAATAAAAAAAATTATTTTAATTTTAGATTTAATAATTATTAAATCTTGTTTGGTAATTCAGTTTCTTAGTCATGGCAAACAGTCAAAAGTGCTTTATTGGAATCAACCTAGAAAGTGAATGTCATCTTACAACATATACATTGTTGCTGGGAATCAAACCTTTTGAAGATATTATTGAATATGAAAGAGAAATATTAATGTGGAGGACTGGGCTCTCAATAATAAATATCAAACCAACAACTTGTCTCCATCATAAACATGTTTATTTGAAGCGTTATACAACTAAATTAACACGGTGCTGCAATCCATTTAATACTCATGACAAAACTATAAAAGGTATTTATAGTAATCATGAATTTATAGTAAAACTTTTAGTTTTGTAGAAACGTTTTGAATTACAATAATGAAATTCTTGGCAGCAAAATTCTATTTTAGCTATATTTTTAGCTGACTTCTGAAAGTGCACAATTAAATGCCATACAACTTTAAACTTTTGAAGGTTTTATTAAAAATTTTATACATATTAAAAGAGTTCTTCCCTTTTTTTAGGTAGTCTTCGTGAAATCAACTTGGATACAGCAAAATACCTATGCAGTAAAGGCAAATTCGTAGTTCCAGGTGAAAAACTTTGTACACAATGCAGGCATAAATTAGCAAGTGAAGAATCTGAAGAGAACGAGTTGGAGATGAAATTACCTGAAGATAATATGGAAAAAGATCTTATACTGGAATCAACAAGATCGTTGCTCAACAGTACTTTATGCGAACTTGAAGTGTCTCCTTTAAAAGTTCATTTACCCAAAACCTCTAGCAAGCCTTCACTTGGAAAGAGAAAGATAAAGCAAGTTGAAGAAGCAGTTATTAAGAAGCTTGCAACTGTTCTGGATATAACCGAATCCGATCTTGTTGCACCAAAAAATGAAGTTCTAAAGGAAATTCAAACCAAAGCTGGCGATCTAGACTTCCTTGTAGAATGCATGAAAGAAAAACTTAAGGTTTCTAACAGGAGACAGCAACTTCAAATTTTGACATTAACCCCAAAATCTTGGTCTATCAGAAAAGCAGCAAAAGAGTTTTCAGTTTCTAAACACAAAATTCAAAATGCAAAGTTTTTACGCGACCAAAAAGGCATCATAGCATACCCTGATGTGGTTGAACGGCATCGAATCGGTAAAGATGTTATAGAACTTGTAAAGCTTTTTTACTGTGATGATGAGTATTCAAGGCAAATGCCAGGTAAAAAAGACTGTGTAAGTGTTGGGGGAAAAAAATACATGTCAAAAAAATTGATTTTGTGTAACTTAAAGGAGCTCTATGTGGCATATAAGACAAAGTACCCAGGCCATAAAATTGGATTTTCTAAATTTTGCAGTCTTTGACCTAAATGGTGCATCCTTGCTGGTCCAAAAGGTACACATTCTGTTTGTGTGTGTACAATACACCAAAATGTTAAATTGATGTTGAGTGCTATAGGCCTTGAACCATCTTACCATGAAATTATTGAAAAAATTGTCTGCAGCAGAAAATCTAAAGTTTGCATGATTCACCGATGCAATAGTTGTCCTGGCATACAACATGCCCAAAATTACTTCCAGCAGTATCTCGCACAAAATGATGATCCAAAAGAGCAATATGACATTGATGAAAATGAACAGTCAGTGGATTTCAAACAGTGGACAACGACAGATAGAACTGAATTATTAACAATAAAACTTCCATTAAATGAATTCATAGAGCTTCTGTGTGAAAAACTTGATAATATCACTTCTCATTCATTTATAGCAAGATCACAATCTAGCTATTTAAAGCATCTCAAAGAAACAATTAGTATTGATGAGGCTATTGTACTGGCAGATTTTGCAGAGAATTACACGTTTGTAGTACAAGACGAGATTCAGAGTTACCATTGGAGCAAGAGTCAATGTTCCCTTCATCCAGTTGTCATCTACTACAATAAAGTGAAATTGGAAATATCTTCTTTGTGTGTAATTTCAGATGATTTAAATCATGATGTTGGATTTATCAATGAGGTTATGCATAAAACCATTAATCATATTAAAACTCATCTTTGTCCCACAATTAAAAAAATTCATTATTTTTCTGATGGCTGTGCAGGGCAGTATAAAAACTGCAAACATTTTTACAATTTATGTCACCACGCTCAAGATTTTTCTGTTTGTTGCATCTGGAATTTCTTTGCAACAAGCCATGGTAAATCTCCATGTGATGGAATAGGTGGCACTGTTAAAAGGCTTGTTGCAACAGCTAGCTTGCAGAGTCCAACCACAGGTCATATACTGTCTTCTCAAGCAATGTTTGAATACTGTAAAAAGTCAATCAGTGGGATTACGTTTGTGTATGTCTCTGCTGAAGAAATGGAGCTAGTAAGAAACAAACTTACAGATAGACTTTTAATAGCAACCACTATTCCTGGGACAAGAAGTTTCCATCAATTTATACCATCTTCTCATTCAATTATAAAAATGAAAAGGGTATCCGATGATGATCATTTTTCTCTAACATTTGACTTCCTCAAAAAACAAAAATATGAAATTATTAAAATTGACAATGTTTTGATGTCACAATATCTATTTTGCAAATATGACGATTTTTACTGGCTTGGTATGGTTTATGAAGTTGATAAAGAGAATGATGATTTTATGGTAAAATTTATGCATCCACATTACCCAAGTCGGTCATACCACTAGCCAAATCGGGATGATAATTGCTGGGTGCCAAGAATGAATGTTATTTGTCTTGTTAAAACACCTTCAACATCTTCTGGGCGTCAGTACCAAATCTCAAAAGAAGATGAAAATTTATTTGAACAAGTTTTATCTTTTCAGTGAAAGTTATTTAATATTTTACTTTCATTATTTAAATGATATGAACTTAAATTTTAGTAATATTTGGTTATTCCTTTTCATTTTTATTTTTGAGCTTTTTTCAATAAAGCAGGTTTGTAATATTTTTCAAAAAAGTTTGCATTTTAGTTTCCTATTTTTTAACAAAACATTTGAGCTTGTAACCTTAAATTTGATTCATGCAACCAAGATTTTGAAATAATATCTAACTATAAGAATAATAATAAAAAAAATTGTTCAATGTGTTGTATAGTAAATTATATTTCTATGTATACTTTTGAAAAAATAGATAAATATGCAAGTTATGCAAAGTAATATAATTTTTTACTTACTTTCACCTAAACTTTTATAAAACCTCTTCACAATGAGAGTAAGATCTCTTATTTCACAATGAGAGTAAGATCTCTTATTTCACAATGAGAGTAAGATCTCTTATTTCACAATGAGAGTAAGGCAACTCCAGAAATCAGTGAAATGCAAACTATGGTTAAAAGAAAAAAAAGGACTGTTGACATAATAAAATTCAAAAATTATTTTTAAATATTAAGAATTGGGTTAATTTTAAAAATGGTCAGATACCAATTTGCAGTCATATTTCTCTACTAGATCTTAAATTATTCACACAATAAGTATCGCTATAAAATCTATAATAGAGAATAGATGCCAAATAAAGAAATTTTTTGTCTAAATTTCAAAATGAAATATCTTTTCTATGCTTTAAGAACCCAAAACCATTTTTTTTATAAAGATAGCCTAGGATCACCTACTTCATTTGAAAAAAAAATCGAATCCATGAGACTTGGGCAACTTCGGGAATTAATGAAAGCGCAACCCATGGTTACAAAACAAAAAATTTGACTGGCCATTTTAAAATGAAAAAATAACTATCAAAAAATTTAAATTTCACTATTTTATCTACATTTTTGAATTCAGCACCCTCAAAAATGGTCAGGTACTGATTTTCAGCCACATTCTTCCACTAGATCTTAAATTATTCAATTAAAAGTACAACTACAAAATCCATAATGGCGGACTTCCTAAAAAAAGGAACGTTTTAGGCTAAATTTCAAAACATCATAACTTTTGAACCGTTTGGATTTGGGAGCTCAAATTTTGCATTTTTTCATGTTTCCTTAATAGTTACCACTGGTAAAAATTTTAAGAAAATCCAAGGGGTGACTGAAATGACTGTCTCAGTTTTACATGGAATGACCCAGCAGTTTCAACCACAAAAAAGTTATAACTTTAAAATATATGTTGTGTTCTTTTTTTCAATTAATTAAATAAATTTTTTTTGAGGTTTTGGAAATTGAGTTAATTGCAAATAAAACATATAACACATAATCTAATGCTAAATGTCATATCTCTGTACCATACTATCTATGCTAAATGTCATACCTCTGTACCATAAAACACATAATCTATACCTATATGAAACTTTGTAAAAACAACATAGTAATAAATTATTAGCTAACAACTCACAAAAGTAATATTTTCAGAATTTGCCAATTGAAGTTTATTCAACGAATTCTTTAAAGACGCTATTTGATTATTCAATATGAATACACGTGTTTCATTAGCATATATTTGATTGACCAAATCTGAAACAATATCATCTTTAGCAGGCATTCTGTATTTTGGATTTGACAAAATTGATTGATATTCTTTTTCAATTGTTTCTAATTCTAACCCAATAACAGGGTAACAGACAAGAAGTTTAATTTTTTCCGACAGCTCAGTTGATTTTTGACATTCTTCATAATTTATTTTCTATAAAAAAAAATTATTTTTCAAAGATTTTCAACAAAACATTGATAACATAATGTACAACAGTGTAAGCTTTTAGTTTCATGACTTACTTCATAACAATGTACAACAATGTGAGTCTTTAATTTCAAGACTTACCTCATAAGCATTGAGCTTTTCTTCAGAGTTTTTTGCTAAAATCTTCAATTGCTCCTTTTCATTAGTTACATCTTTTAAATGCTGTTCTGAATCCAATAGTTGCATTTTACAAACTTTAACATTATCTTCTAACTCTTCAATGCGACAGAGTAACTTTGACTGTTTTTCTTGAAGTCCCTTAAAAAAAAGTTCAAGTCCATTTGTACTATTTTTTACAACACAAGTATTTAATGTAAGTCCATACAATTTTTTACATATGCACGAATTTCCACAGCACAATTTTTTATATACAGTGCGGTACAAATTTATAATCTCACCAAAAATTTAAGATCTCACAAATAATTAAATAATTATTTTTAAATTATTCAATTGCTTAATATCTTACTTGGTTAATATTTCATTTGTAATAGAATCTGGTTTCATTTCATTAATAAATGTTAGAAAAATAATGGAGCAAAATTATAACGTCATTTCAATTTTACTCTACAAAATTCCATAATGTTTCGTATTGCAATTTGAATTTATTATTAATACCTTTTTTAATTGCCGCCATTCTGAATAACTTCAAATATTTGATTTGGCATACTTTCTGAATGTTTTCTAAGATCTGCAAGAGATATATTTTTCCAAACATGTACAATTGCCTTTTTCAATTCATCAATACTCGAATATTGTTTCCCTTCTGCATAAACACATCTTGCTAAGATGCCCCATACGTTTTCAACTGGATTTAAATCAGGTGAGAGTGCTGGCCATTCTAATAATTGTATTTTCCTGCTTGTAAACCATGAGATATTTGACTTTGCTCTATAAATTGGAGCATTATCTTGCTGAAAAATAAAGATTGTGTTACCAAAATTTTGCGAAATATCATTCAAATGGCCATTCAACAAATTTCTATATCTTTCAGCATTTAATTTAGTAGTAATAAAGCCAATTGAAGTTTTTCCAAAATAACAGAACACACCCCAAATCATCACTCCTCAGCCACCCATAACCCTTCTTTTTGAAAATATCTTCTCTTTTTTAATGTCATGCCAGTAGTAATTGAAGCCACCTGGACCATCAAAATTTAATTTTTTTTCATTGGATCACACAATTTTATGCCATTCTTTTTCCCAAGTTATGTGGTCCTTGGCCCATTGAAGACAAATGCATTTGGGCGCTTCAGTTAGTGCTGGAGATGTGCATTTTAAACACAATGAGCTGTAGGCTTTAATCTTGCCTTTTTCTTCATCAAAGAGTATAATTCCTCTTGGTATTTGTTAGAATGTATTTTACAATTATAAAATATTTAAATTAAATAACTTAATTTGAAAACAATTTACTACTATTTTATTTAGATAACGAGGTTATAATTGTGCACCATGGTTTTAAAAAGTTTTATAATTTGAGTTAATTAAAGTATAAATAGATTCAAGTAAATTATTTTATTTATTTCAAAAAATGATCTACAAATAGAATTTGATCAACAAACTTTGAAAGATAGTTTTAAGATTTCTATACAGGTGAGGTTATAATTCTGCACTCCACTGTATATGCGAGTAGATATACCTATAATACAAAATATATCTATAGATATATTCAACTTAAAACAATACAGTTGATCCATATGCACCTATAATAGTTGTAAATAAAACATCTTTAAACATAAACTTTTTATACAGCATTACATTCACAAATGTTTTAATAAAAAATATATAAATACAATATATAATATGTAATACAAAAATATATAAATACAATGCTATATAAAAATAAAAAAACATATAAAAACGTCAATACTATAAAACATACTTTTTTGAAAAAAAAACAAACCATAAGAAATAATTTGATTGTGACCTGATCGTGTTTCAGCAGTACTCTTATTTCTGCTTTAGCCTGAGCTAGCTCCTCTGTTAAATTTGTATTTCTTTCAATATAACCTTGTAACTTTAAATCAGCACTTTTTTGAAGATCTTGATTTGCATGCAACAGATCTTGAATGTGAATTTCATTACTTTGCAATTCTTTTCTAACATTTTCCAACTCACCAGATAAAGTTTCTACTTTTAGCACTTAAAAAAAAATGGATGCACCATAGAAACAGTATCAAACTACTCTAGAACTGATTACTGCTTTCAGAAAAAATATTTTAAAATAAAGATTGAAATTGTCACGATCCAATAAAAAATTTTTAAAAGCAAAGTTTAGTTGTCATTTTTACTTTTTACTAATTCAAATTTTAATTACAAAAAAATTAATTGTAATATTTATTAAATTATTTATTACATATATATATATATATATATATATATATATGCAATAAAGTTACATTTGTAAGTAAAAAGTAAGCTTATATTAAAGAAATAATTCATTTAAAGTTTTGGGTCATTAAATATAAGTATCCAATATCCATAATTTTTGTTAAAATCATTTTATAGTTTTAGTGAAAAATTTTATTTTTCATTTTTAAATATTAGATTTATTCATTTGTATAAAGATTTAATGAAAGTTGTCAACCAGCACATCTGGTATTGTAAATAACTGGAGTATTGATCACGTATCCTGGTGTTGATACTAGAAAAATGCGCTTTAAGTTTTAAATTAGAGTTTTAATCAAAAATAGGTATAACCGTTCCCGGTTAAATATAAACATATAACAAATTAGACGCAAAGAGCGCATGCCTACACTAAAATCATTAGATCAAAATTAAATTATATATGTTTACCTGAATAATCCTGACATACTATATATGTCAGGATTATTCAGGTACACACACAAAAATCTTTATGAAGATTAAATCTTCATATACCTTTTGTGATATATGTAAAATGTTTTAGCAGAATGCTAAAAAATATATATCATTCTGCTAAAGTATTTCACGTTTATCAATAATGTTTTCATTAATATAACTTTATATTATATAATATTTATAATATTTTAACATTATATCATATATCATTAAGTTAAAAGAAGAGATATCATTCAGCTCCACTACAACTATCATAATATCATATGCTATTAATAATAGCATATGGTAATTATAATAGTGCTTTTATATATCATTTAATAATAGTATTATTAAATGGTGTTATCATTTACACACTAACGCAAACTGTACCGGGAATCTATCTGTCATCACATAATATATGTGGTAATAGACACAAACAAAACTAGAAGTATAGATAGAATAAATTGGTAAATTAGTAAATAATCTGGTAAATTGATGTTGTTGTTGTTTTAGATACACCTCTATAATTAGTCAATTAAAGTTTACAGTGATATGTTGATATATGTATTAATGCTTTCGCATAATAATATATATCGTTTTGCTAAAACACTATCACATATTTCAACATATCAGTGCAAACTGTACTGGAGAAATATCTATTATTATATATATGCAATAATAGACATATCTTTAGCACAGTTTGTCCTGATTTGTTGTCAAGTTCATTAAACTAACTGTAGCTGAAGATCTTTTGTTACCAGAAAACAAGTAGTAATAATTTAATTATCTCTAAAGTGAATACATATCAAATGACAGTCAAAATAGAGTATTAAATAGGGTTGATTTTTCTGGAGATTTTGAATTCAGTGATACTTATTCTGAATACAAACTAGTGTAGCACAATTTAACTAGAGATGCAATAAACAATAAACTACTAATTCTACTGTAGTCCAGAAAATTTGAAAAATGTGACGTATCAAAAGATGTTTAAGCATTAACTAAAACTCCATGTTATATCAATATATTGAGGAAGTGTAATGGTATTTAGATTTACATAGGTTTGAAGTAGATATTAACTTGTCTATTGATGTTAATACTGATGGACTTCCTATTCAGTGATTCAATAGATGGAGCCAAATCTTTGTTCAATAGTAAATATTGTATCTTGTCCTTTTCCAGTGGCTGTTTATAGTGGGAATGTGAAGCCATCAAGTGTTTATGATAAAAGTTAGTTTACAAGATTTTGTTGCAGAAGTTATTAGTCTAACAATCAATGGGTTAGTGATTAATTCATATAAAAATTCATATTAGATTTGCTCAGAAGCAACTGATTTTCAAATCAAATGCTGGGAATAGAACGGTCTATTGCTTCTGACTTGGATGTCCAAAAGTCTTTCTGAAAAGTTTTAGACAATTAAGTTTATAATCTGTTTCTTGCATTTGCTGTAACTGCAATCTTTTAAGTCATCTGTCAATCGTTATCTTGCTCTACAACCTTCATCTTTTCTCTTCCAGTAACTTCCAACACTAATTAATGGTTGCTTGCAGCCTTGTTGGAAGCAAAGTTGTTAAAAAAAAAAAAAAAAAAAAAAAAAAAAAACTTTAAATTTTACACATAAAAAATGATAATAACAGATTCATTGCCATTTGCTAAGTGATTTTTGCCACTTTTATCCATAATTAATGTTATTATCTAAATTTCATGTAAGATTTGTAACTTATTCCATATTGTTGATGATTCATGATTTATAGTTGTTCTTTAAAATGATACATCTGCATTTAAATTTAAAAACTCACAGTACTTAATAAAACACAACAAGAAATGTGAAATATAATCCACTAGTAGCTGAATGATTTAATAAATGCTCTATTTTTTTCAAAACCTTCAGGTTATATAATAAAATGTGTAATAAGCAAACTTTAAAATAAATAAATACTTTCTATGTAAAGATAGATGTATTGTGAATTTTTTAATTGTAAATCATTACCGCTTACTTTCAATTTTACAAACTTATTATTCCTATTAATTTGGGGATAAAGGTTTCACTAATTTATTATTGTTTTGTAGTTTCTATAAATAAAAAAGTTCTTTCATTATAATTCAAATATATTGTACTAACCCAATTAAAAAAAACTAGTTAGCAATATAACTATATAGTTGATAAAAAAATAGCAATTCAAAATTACAATTATCATATAATTCAAAATAAGCTTACTAGTTTAGATATATATTAAAATTGCTATTTGAATTTATGCATTTATTGTATTCATGTTAAGATTGTTATTGATATATTTATAATAACAAAGCTGCTATCGATGAAAATTGTATAAAACAAACAAAAATTAGAATTTTTTATGTTGTTATTAATCTTTGTTTTACAGAATACAGAAATAAGAATACAGACAAAGACAAATAATATAGAAAGAGTGACAAAGAATACAGAAAGGTAAAATTAGCCCCATTAAAAATTTTAGAATTTATAGGGATGCGATACATGTCTTACTTTAAACTGCATTTATAAAGCATTCAGTTTTAAGTTAGAATTTTTTCTTTTTTTAATTTAGTTTCCTTTTTTCTAATTTTCTAGATTTGAACTTTGAAGAACTATCAAAAAACATCTGAAGTATTGTTTTTATTCGAAATCGTCTTTTTTTATGATGTACAATTGAATGCAAATGTAGTCAAAACTTTCAATAAATTGATTGCAATTGACTATTTATCAATGTAATTTTTGAATATTACATTGTATAGTGTGTTTTAGTTGTATAACCAGTTTTAAATTGTAAAAAATGACACATTTTTATAATACAAGGTAAATAATACATTTGTATACTCTAAGGGTTATGGAGCAATTTTCTTTTTATAAATTTAATATAAAATACATTATTATTAATATTATATTATAAAAACCATAATAAATATGCGCACATTGAACACTGTACAAGTTAATTTAATAAAATTTGTTGTTGTTATTTTTAGAGCCAATGCGTGTGCGTGTTTATGTGCACATGTAATAGAAGCATATTTCGGACGCGTGTGTCCATTTTTATATGCGTCTGAAATGTGTCTGATACATGTTCTACGCGATAAAATAACTAACATACATTTATTAAAAACATATTGTCTGGAAAGTTTTAAATACGCATTTAATACCAAACAAACATTATATTGAATAACATATAACTACTGTGATCTATTTGCATTTTAAACAGTTTAAAATGTGGGTTTGATACTCTGTAAATGTCGTATCGCATACTTGTTTTTAAACGCATATGAAGCGCATTACTAATGTGTATTTAACATAATAAAATAGCATACATACCATAAAGATGCGTATTCACATAAGTTTCTAATGCACATTTACAACTTAATGTGCAATCTGGGTTATTCATTAATTTTATAAAAATTATTCATATCTAATATATAAAATAAAAATTATTCATATCTAATATATAAAATAAAAATTATCAGGGCTGTAGAGTCGAAGTTGTGGAGTCGGAGTCGTGACATTTGTAGAGTCGAAGTTGCTAAACAAAAGCGCGACTCCAACTTTAATAGTAAAACTTCTCGGTATTGCATCTGCATGTTTAAAATATTTAACCCTCAAAGAGTTTTTCATACATTTTCAAAAATTTTGCTTTGGAGTCAGAGTTGGAGTCATACTCTGATTTCAACAATTGAAGTCGGAGTTAGTACTTTTTTTTTACAACTCCACACCCCTGAAAATAATGGCTATAAAGCCATTTAAAATTTCATTTCTTTACTTTTTTTTTTTTACTGCTACTCTGACGTGAATAAATTTCATATCCAAAAGTTTTTGTTTTTTTTCACTTTTTAACTGCTGCTCTGATATAGTTGCATTTAACTACATGTAATTTCATCAAAATATAGCATACATTGAAATGACATTTACATGTTTGCAACTTGAAAGAATGCTATCTTATATTAAAAAAAAAAAGGGAATAGAAGGAAGAAAAAAAAAACAAAAAACAAAAGTAGGCTAAAAATAGTAAAAAATAAAAAAATATTTATAAAGCAGAATTAAAATTTTACCCAAATTTGTTTGATGTTCATTTGTGACTTTATTTTCTTTTTCTTTTTCATTGTGAAGTACAAGTTCATTTTCTAATTTTTGGATTCGATGAAAATTCTGTTTAAGTAAATTCTCCTGCAACAGGTATTCCTGTGTTTTTGATTCATATAATTTGTTTAATCTTTGGAGTTCATTTTCTAAATTTATTTTTTGCTGGGTTATTTCATCAAAATTTTCTTGCAATTGCCCACATAATGTTTTTGATTTTAAAAAATCAGTATCTAAAACAAGTATTTTGGCTTGTAAATCCTCTAAATGTTTGCATACTTTGTTCAAATCACGCTCTTGCTCAGTGCACCATTTTTTGATGTCAAGGTTGGTCATTTCATTTTTGTATGCACGCTTATATTTTGAAAGTAATGAAGGTAAACCTTGTGATTCACATATAGATATAATAACTGACCCAGTATTTATCAAACAATTTTGCATGTTTGAGCAGCTAAAACATGGTAAAAATGATGTCTCGTATGTTTGGGTGCTAATCGATTGCCTCTCATTCCATAATATATGTGAACTCTTCATTTCTTGTTGATCAGAAGACGATAACTGTTTGTGTATTTCTGGGAGAGCAGTGTTATGTAAGTCCATTAGAGATTGATTATGTTCTGATAACTAAAATATTGTCATCATCATCATTATCATCATCATCATCATCATCATCATCATCATCATCATCATCATCATCATCATCATCATCATCATCATCATCATCATCATCATTATCATCATCATGATGATGATCATCATCATCATCACTTACTTCTTTTTCCATATTTATGTATGACTCTTGAACTTGTAAAATTTTCTTTTTAAATAGCGTAGTAACCAAACCTACAGAAATAGTAGATGTGAAAGTACATGTCTCTAGATGTGATCGTACACGAGGTAAACTTAATGTTATCGACATGTCAAAAAATTGAGATACGCATTGTAATAATAAACAAAACCTGCAAATTGAAAAAAACAAATGTAATTAATATTCATGAGAGAAAAAGGAAATTATTTAAATACATACTAATATAAAATATACTAATAGTTAACTATGATCCAACGCAAATATTACATCACTAAGTACATATTTTTTTTTTTTATTTATGTTATTCTCCCTAAATGAAATTTATCTTCTCAAATAATATGGCTCACAGTTATGGAGACTACTTATTAATTTTTATTTTTTATGTTGTTTTTTTAACAATTTTCTTTTCATGTTGCAACCTTATAATACATTTCTAAATACATTAATTATGACTAAATCAAACTCATTTAAAATAATGTTAAATATAAGCAAACAAAACTGTAAATAAAAATATTTTTTAATTATACAATCAACCTAAGCTTAAAAGAGTTCTAAAACCTTTTAAAAGTTAAAACTCAAAGAATAAAAGCAACTCTTAGAATAACTCTTGAAGCTGCTCTATTTTTTGAGAACTCTTAGAGCATGATGCTTCTGAAATTGAAAATTCCTTATACATATAGTTAAATATAGAGATTCCGATTTTCCTATCCCTTTGGATGTCTAAAAACAATTTTAATTTAAACCTTTATCTTTTTCACTCTTGTTTTTATTGTGCATTTAAACACAAAACATTATTATCGACATTTATCACATTAAACAAGTGATACATTCATACATTCATTATATATTATTTAACTATTTATTTACAAACTTTGATTTCTTAACTGGTGCAAGCTACTATGAAATTAAAAAAATGACTTTCAATGTATAATTTTTCTTCAAAAAAATAATCAAAATGCTTGAGAGAAAGAAAAAACATCCAGTGCAACTTCCTGTAGTTTAAAATATAATATTATAATAACCATAACTGCAAAATTTATATATATATACATACATACATATATATATATATATATATATATATATATATATATATATATATATATATATATATATATATATATATATATATATATATATATATATATATATATATATAATTGAAAATACATTATTTACAGTGAAATACTATTTATTTAACTTCAAGTTAAAGTATTATGTTAAATAAATGTCATTGCAAACAATATATTTCAATTTTATATATAAATTTTATCACACACACACACATATATATATAAAGTCTTGGCCATAAGTATAAAACCACTTCATTTTTTCAATTTTTATGTGCTTTGACAGCACAAAAAAAATTTTGACTTATGTGTTTTATTAGCTTATTATTTTTATTATACATGAATCAGTCAATCATTTTAATGCAAAATACAAAAAAATTAATAGTTAGTTCTTTATTTACAATGACTGCTTAATACGTCAAGCATAGATTTGCCCCAGATCATCAAGTGAGCACCTGCTCTATGGTGGGGACAAAGTATCTGATGTTATATCTCTGATTAACAGGTCGCCGGACATGTTGTACAAATAAAGAAAACTGGCTAAAAGTCGTTTTATCAGAGAATATAACATTCTTCCAGCTTTCTGCAGACCAATCCTTGTACTTTCAACAAAATGCTAATCTGCCTTTAATATTCTTCTTGATGAACTTTACATTCTTGGTGGGCCTGCAAAATGGCAAGCCAAAATCCACTAGCCTTAAAGTTCTTGAACTCACTTGGTACTAGAGCGACTAGAGTATGGCGGATTCTTCAGTCAGTGGATGAACTTGTTTTCCTAGGAGGACTTCTTCTTCAATGTGACTTTACAGTGTTCAGCTGCAACGCACAAGTTAAACCTGTTGTTACTGCAGTCTTAGAAATTCCAAGTATTGAGGCAATTTGCTTGTGTGACATTTTCAATTGCTGCAAAGTAATCATTTGCAAAGTGATCAACCTGTCTTCTGTGTGTTATTTCTGTGTGTTATTTCTGCCTTCTTTCTCATTATAATCAAATTTTTTCTCAGAAATCTATAAATAAGAATAAACTGTGTACTTTTAGTCCTGCTTAAAATTTCTTTATTAGTTTTTTTTATTTTCACAAGTTTCTTTATCAAAAAAATACATAAAACTCACCCGTGTAGAATAGACGCATTTTTTTCTAATTATGACATTAACATCACTCTCAAAATGACAAGTGTAGAGAATTTTTCTTAAAGCAATTTTACAAGCTCCTGGTGCACTTATGTTGCAATAAAACAATTGCCAGCAGGCACCCACTGGATACTATATTCTACTACCACTGACAATAATATTCTACTAGGACAGCCACTACCATAGTTGATATATTTAAAATTGACCACTAACTAAAAGTGTCACTAACTGGAAGCTAATACATGTCCAAGTTGCAATATTGACATTAACAAACACATTAATACAGGAGACATATTTATAAGAATTTATAGATAAAAAATTTTAAAGCGATATCAAACTTATGACCAAGTCATATGTATATATATATATATATATATATATATATATATATATATATATATATATATATATATATATGTATATATATATATATCTTTATTGATAAAAATATATATATATATATATATATATATATATATATATATATATATATATATATATATATATATATATATATATATATATCACTTTATAAAACTATATATATACCACTTTATAAAACTATAGTTATTTAATATACAATATTATAAATATGTATTTAAATATGCCTGTCAATGACTACTTCAAATAAAATAATATGAGACAGCCTGTTTGCATCTTCATCATCGCAGAAACAGTAGTTCTCTGCAATTTCTTTAATATCAATATCACATGCATTTTTATTGGGATATTTCCATGATGAAAATTCTAATCGACCAGTTATATTAAGGAAATAAGCTATAACATCTTGAAGCTGACAAATGTCTTTGCATAAACTATCAATACAGTTTTTACTTCCAAGAAGATGTGCCATTATTAATTTCCTGCAACATTTTAAGCAAACTTGTAAATACATGTTACTTAGAATTTTTTTTTTTTTATTATGCATAATTTTCAGGTATTTAAGTTTAAGCAATTTTAAGTGAATAAATTTAAACATTTATTACTTATAAGTTTAAACATTTATTTATATTATCTACTTATATTAATATTAAATAAAAACTTAAATATTTGTAAAAAACAAATTGATTCGAGCATATAAACAATAATAATTTTAAAAAATTGCAACCTCTCTCCTCCTAAGGGAGCTATATACTAATAAAAAAGAAATTTATTTTTCATTAAAAGATTGTCTATCTAATACCATTTGCCAATGTATTTACACTTGCTTTACCTATTCCTATAAATCAGTCAATGATTGTACACTTCACATTAAAAGAAAAAAATGTAGACTTAGCTTTGAATTAAATTAAATATGTACACTTTGCTTTGCATTAAAAAAATAAACAAATAGTAAAAAAAAAACTATAAAAATAATATCATTCGTAAAATTTTAAAAAAAATTACACTAAAGAGAATAAAAAAATTAGAGAAAAAATATTTCAAGACTTTAGTGTGCCTTTTTTAAAAACCACAAAAAATCATTGATCTACAAAAAGCTTTAAGTACATTAAATAGTAAAATTAAATTAAACAATAAATATAAATATTTATACATCAATATAAATATTGATCTTTTTTCATTAGGGCCCATTGAAAAATTTGCTTTTGAGTTAATTTTTTCAATTAAGTGTTAATTCTTACACTAAGAATAAAGGTCTTCGTGAAATATTACTAATAATATACAGTAAAAGCTATACTACCCAGAATACTTAGGGATAAAAGTATTACAACTAAATGACAAATAACTCGATCATTAAAACTAGAATATTATTTATTTTATTCTTTCATACATCAAATATTCACTGATTACAAGTAATAAATAGATGTTTTCAACTATACGTGAATAAGAGTAAAATAGAAAAAAAAATCTAAAAATAAAAACTTTGTTATCTGAGTGTTATATTTAAACAAGCAATTCCTAATAATTCAAACTTTGAACTGAAAAAAGTCTCTATTGATGAAAATCAAGAGTGTATTGAGCTTTTGTTAAATATCTTCACAACTACAACTAAAGGGCATATAGTTATACAATAATTGCAATGCCTCCCAAATATCTTTTCTTTAATTGATTTTGTCTTTTCCTTTGCAGCAAAATTAGCCATTGTAAAATGTAAACACATCTCTCATAATATTCTAAAGCAAATATATATAACATAATATAGATAGATATAATATACATTAACATAGCACAACTTCTACAATAAGCCACTAGTCAACTTTAATTATCAAAATTTTTACTGCAAAGGCTGTAACTTGAGGGTTCAAGCTAATAGGCAGCCTAAATTTATTAATTTTCCTCTAAAGTTTGAGTTACCAACAACCACAAGGACAGATAAAATGGTTTGACTTGGTGAATGTTTAAGTGACAAAGGGTTCAAGTTATCAAGTCATTTTTATAAGAAAATATTAATGAAAATATTAAGTCAACAAAAATACAAACATACTTTAAACTACTGAAAGTTTGAGTTATAGGGTATATGAAGTTTGAGTTATTAAGTGTTTTCTGCATATAGTCTTTTATACAGTTCTTGACTATTTTTTTATGGTTTTCTGCTTCTCAAGTCAACTACAATCAAAAAAGATGAACAAAAAGTTCCAACTATTAGTTCCAAAAATAATTCAAATGATTAAAAAAATTAATAACTTCTAATTATTATTTAAATTAATATTTTCTAACAGTTATATGATACATACATATAATTTTTTTTTCCAACATCTTTGCTTCTAACAAGGCTTCAAGCAACCACTATTAGAGTTACTGGAAGAGGAAAGATGAAGTTTATAGAGCAAGATAATGATTATGAAGATTAAGTTTATAGAGCAAGATAATGATCGATGAAGATGAAGTTTATAGAGCAAGATAATGATTGATGAAGACTTAATGATGACAGATGACTTAAAATATTGCAAATTATATGAATCAGGAAAGCATAATGAAAGAAGCGAATTCCAAAGAACTGATGTTCAAGGAAAAAACTAGACAAATACGAGTTTTTTGGGCACTTTGGAACAGTCACAGTAAAAGGATGAGACTTAACTGAATAACGTGTAACACAAGAATAAATTTTAGTAGATGGCACAAGAGATGCTTACTTTTTAGAGCAGTGCCTATTATAGTATTTGTTGAAAAAAAAAAGAGAAGCAACATCACAACAATGTGATAATGGTTGGAGGTTGGCTGCAAGAGCACGTCCAACTATATTTACAATGCATTTTTGCACCTAGTCTAAAAGAGAAAGGACATCATTAGAAGATCCACCCCAGATATGGCAACAGTAATCCATACAAGGACAGATTTGATCTTTAAAGAGATAAAGAATAGAGTCTGGAGTAAGAAAGTGGCAAGCACAATAAAGAGATTCAACCTTAGCAGATGCTTATTTTGCAATGGATTTGATATATGGTTTCCAAGAAACATTAAAAGTAAGAGTTAATTATAAAAGAAGAAAGGTAGATGACTCAATGAGTACATTACCATTCATAAATAAAGGAAGATCTAATTCATTATGATAATGATTGACCACTGTGAGTCCCATGTTGTAGCAGAAGTGAGATTCATTTCAAGCTCAAATACCCCCTCCAAGCAATTAGAAAGTGTTGGCTTCTTATCAAGACAAGAATAAATGGTAGCATCATCAGCAAACAATGCCACTTTAGATGTGAGAATATTTGGAAGATCGTTAATGTAAATTAAAAAGAGTATAGGGCAAATGATAGAACCCATCATTGGCCCTATATTCTTATAAACAATGAAAAAAACATGCTTATGCTAATTAATCTACCAAAAAAAACTTTTCTGTGAATTATTTAAACTTTTTAACACAAAATAACTTTTTTCTTTACCTATTTGCCCTCAAATCAAGATCACTGTTGTTTTCTTTTTAATTGCTTTTGACTCATCGCTTCATCTTAAAACACATTGCTTTCTCTCAGTAACACAATGATTTGTAGTCTTCCTGTAGCAATTTCACAACATGTAACTTACTCTATTTAGCCTTATGACTGTTTAATTCATAAGTTTAAGATCAAGTTGTCTTGTAATTCCAAAATATGCTATAATATAAGAAAGTAAATATAAAATAAACCAGCAAAAAAAAATCCATATGACATGTTCTACATAAGGATCACTAGTATATGGTATACTAAATATTTAGCATACAGTTTACCGTATAGTATACAGTAAAATAAACAAACTTTTTTTTTAGCGAAACCATGATATAAATTTGTAAAATATTTTTAATGGTTTATGTAAAACAAATGTGTTTGATTTTAATTTAATGTTTTTGTTTAATGTAGTGTTTTTATTGTATTAATAACCATTTGTTACACATTCTCACTAGATAAATAAAAAAAGTTAAAATCTTTGATCAAAATCAGCAATCACTTGATAATGGATTGTTATGTTTGTGATAGGAATATATCTTCTGTCTCTGTCTATCTTATGATTATGTTCAAGTTTTTTTTTATTTCAAGTTGTTTACCTTATTTTTTCTAGACCCTTATTTATCACATTTATTAATCTTTTTGAGAAGGGATATATTCCTAATAAGCAATTTTCCTTTTTTATTCTTATAGAAGTGAAAATTAAATAAAATAAAATAATTTTTTCTTAAAATAAAAGTTTTGATTGCATTGTACTTATATTAACCTTTCTTCTCTGGACTTCTTCCTTTGTGGCTGTATATTGATATAATATTAAATATAGAAAAAAATATATTATTACATAATATATTTTAAACCTTCTTGTTTAATGACTTATTTTTCTATTGTGAAGCATTTATACCAAATGTACATAAAAAAAGATTGTTACCTAATGAATTCTAATTGTATAAGTGTTGTTAAACAAATCCTGTAATTAAAACTAATTTTTGTAAAAAGACAAAGTCAAATTTAATATGTGCCAAATTTAAATAAAATATTGTTTTAGTAGTAATGCTATCTATATTTGTTGCCTTTAGTTTGCCTAAAAGTAATGTTGTCAATTTCTTGTAAACTTGTTCACAGTATCACCTAAACCACCTAACCACCTTGTATGAGGTTCCGCCTTGAAGTACCACCTAAACCACCTAACCACCTTGTTCTTAAAGTACTTATGCTCTATTTATTTAACCTATTTAAGGTATTGATCTTTTTGTCATTTTAGTCGAATAAAAAAAATATAAAAAAAAGCAACATGAGTATAAACAACATAAATAACATAAACAAAAAGCAAACATTAATAAAATAAATATAATTATTAATAACATAAACACAACTAACAACTAACATCAACACTGTAAATATAAACACAACTAATAAACAAGTTTTTTTTTAATAATATTCACATAGGAGGCTACTTTATTGTGATTACAATCCTTCATCAACTCTTTAACATAGAAACAGGAACCTTGACAAACAAGGTTGCTGCTTGAATAAACAAGTTAAGTGTGATACTACTAGGGACATGGTGGAGATAGTGCAAGTCTTGCTATAATAAGTGAATGTTACCAAGTTTGTTATTGACTAAAATAGATCAACACGTAACAATCAGTTGGTTTATTAGCGCTCTCTTTAAAACTACAGTTTATGGAAGACACTTTTCGACTACCATGCAAGACTATATATATAAATATACAGGGTTGCCACTATAATTTTAAAGTTTTTCCCTGAGTTTTCCCTGAGTAAAAAACGTTTTTCCCTGAGTTGAACTCTTTAAGTTCCCTGACTTTTCTATATTCTTTCCTGTTCATCAATGAGATTATTATTTTCCTTAATTAAACACAATCTTTATATTTGACAAACTAAAACTTTTACAAAACTCACATCTTGCAAACTTATTATTATATGTATTAGCAAAATATTTTTGAAAAAAAAAAATTATTGTACAAAATTTCAAAAAAAAAAACATTTATTTTTCCTGAGTTTTCCCTGAATTTTAATAAAATTTTTTAAAAATCCCCAAGTTTTCCAGGTTTTCGCTGGGATTCATGCTATTTTCAGGTATTTCAGGTTTTCCAGGTTGAGTGGCAACCCTGCAGTAACTTCCAAAACTAATTAGGGGTTGTTTGCAGCCTTGTTGGAAGCGAAGATGTTAAAAAAAAAAAAAAAAGCTAAAAGCAAAATTTAAGAGGAATATAAGGGAAAATATATTCAGAGAATTGTTTGGGTAAAATATATTTTACCCAAACAATTCTCCACATTTTTAAAATATGACCTAGATGATCTATGTAAACTATATAAACAAATGCAATACAACTGGCATATTAACAATTTTGATTTCATTTTTTTCTTTGCCTCTTTAAATATTTTTAGGTTATTATTGGAAATTGATTAATTGATATTTATTAGAACAAAGTATAAATACATGTTCTAAAGGACACGAAGGCCCATACAAAGATGGACACTAACAACGTGCCCAAAGAAATTTAAAAATATTGCTACAAAAAAAAATAAAAAAACTATAAAGAAACAAATAGTTGTTCCTTTTACAATAGATATTTGTTAAAGTCGAAAGATTTAATTTTATTTTTGAATGTTAAAATGTTATTTGCATTTACAGCCTCCGAGGTCATATTGTTCCACATGTCAACAACTCGAAAAGAAAAGCTATATTTTCTTAAATCCAAGCGACAAGATTGTTTGCTTATTTTATAATTATGACCCCGGGTGTGGCTGTTATTGTCAATCGCAAAGAACATAGATTGATCAGTACAGACAAGTTTACGAAAATTTTTAAAGCAAGTTACTAAATCCTTTTTAAGGCGCCGAACTTCGAGTGATTCGATACCAACCAACTGTAATCTATTATGATAGGAAAGATTTCTGAGGCTCCTTATTTTTTTTGTAAATTTTCATTGGACACTTTCAACTGATTTAATCAATCCAATTTGGTGAGGTGACCATACTGGAGAACAATATTCTAAAATTGGTCGTATATAGGTAGTGAAAGCTCTAACTAGGATACAAGGGTCACGTGTTTTAAAACATTTCAAAGTTAAGTATGCTCTAGAGTTAGCTTGATGGATGACGTTAAAAATATGTTTTTTATAATTAAGGTTACAGTCCATTGTTACTCGTAGATCTTTTAGGTTTGAAGACCAAACCAAAGAATATTCACCTAATTTGTAGTTAACCTTTATACCTTTGCGTAATGAGGGAGGTGCTATTCTAAGTGCAAAACACTTACTACAAGCAATTGTTAGTTGCCAAGTTTCTGCCCATTGTAAAAGTCTATTTAAAGCAACAACTAAATCTTGGCTTAGATCCATATCACAGTAGAAGCTATATAACTTTATATCATCTGCGTAAAGTTTTACACAACAGTCCAGATTATTAGTTATAGCGGTTAAATCATTAACATATAATAAAAACAATATGGGACCTAACACACTACCCTGTGGAACTCCACTAACAATGCGTATAGAGTTTGATATAGAATTACCGACCTTGACTTGATGATATCTATCGGTGAGAAAAGTGGAAATCCAATTTAAAAGATTACCTTTTTAATATAGGATGCAAGTTTTACTAATAGTTTGGTATGCGAGACAGAGTCAAACGCTTTTTGGAAATCAATATAGACAACATCCGTTATTTGATGGTTATCAAGTGCAGTGTTCCAATCATTAGCAGATTCTAAGAGATTTGTACTGGTTGAATATTTGTTGAGGAAACCATGTTGATTAAGATATTTTAAATTATGAAATCAAATCTTTTAGTTTGTTTTTATTTGTTATTAAAAAAAACATCAAAAAAAAATTTTATTGAAAATTCCCCAGCTTTCATGATTTTCACAAACAAATTTGCTATTTGGTGTATATTTATGTAACAGGCATCTTGATGATTTAATGATTGGAATTAATAGAGATGAAATTTCATCCTCAATTAAATTTAAATTATCAAATACTACAAAAAAATTCTGCAAGCTGTTTGAATGGAACAAATAGTCAGGGCCGTCCCAAAGAGGTTTCTCATGAGGGGTGTTGTATATGTATTTTGCAAACTAAAAAATATACATATATATACATATATATATATATATATATATATATATATATATATATATATATATATATATATATATATATATATATATACAAACACGCACACACACAGACACACACATATATACATATATACATATATACATATATATATATATTATATATATATATATATATATATACATATATATATACATATATATATATATATATATATATATATATATATATATATATACATATATATATATATATATATATATATATATATATATATATATATATATATATATATATATATACATATATATATATATATATATATATATATATATATATATATAAAGTAGTAGAAAATCACTTTGCAAAAATTCTTTTGAAAACAGAGCAATTATAAAGTAGTACAAAAGCACTCTATTTTGTAGAATACATTTTAAAATTATTCAAATAAGATTCATGCTATTTCCAGGTATTCCAGGTTGAGTGGTAACCCTGTACTGGAAGAGAAAAGATGAAGATTATAGAGCAAGATAACGATTGACAGACAACTTAAAAGATTGCAAAATATATGAATCAGGAAAGCAAGATGAAGGAAGTGAGTTTCAAAGAACTGATGTTTGAGGAAAAAAATTAGAGGATTAGGAGTTTTTGGAGCACTTAAGAACAGTCACAGAAAACGGATGAGACTTAATTAAATGACGAGTAAAACAAAAATGAATTTTAGTAGATGGCACAAGAGACGCTAGCTCTTTAGAGCAGTGCCCATTATAGTATTTGTAGAAAAGAGATAGAGAAGTGACATTACAACGATGTGATAATGGTTGAAGGTTGGCTGTAAGAGCAGGTCCAACTATGTTTACAATGCGTTTTTGCACCTTGTCTAAAAGAGAAAGGGCATCTTTAGAAGATCCGGCCCAGATATGGCAACAGCATTCCATACAAAGATGGATTTGAGATTTATAGAGATAGAGAATAGAATCCAGAGTAAGAAAGTGTCAAGCTCGATAAAGAGATGCAACTTTAGCGGATGCTAATTTTGCAAAGGATTTGATATATGGTTTCCAAGAAAGA